ACCAGGTCCCATCGGTCACCGGATACCTGACCAGGCCTCACCGGTCACCGAAGACCGAACCAGATCCCATCGGTCACCAGTGACCTGACCAGGTCCCATCGGTCACCGGAGACCTGACCAGGTCCCACCGGTTACCGAAGACCTGACCAGGTCCCATCGGTAACCAGTGACCTGACCAGGTCCCATCGATCACCGGAGACCTGACCAGGCCTCCTCACTGGTTACCGAAGACCTGACCAGGTCCCATCGGTAACCAGTGACCTGACCAGGTCTCACCAGTCACCGGAGACCTGAACATTCCCCACTGGTCACTGGTGACCTGACCACTGACCACTTGTCACCAGGTGACCTGAGCAGGCCCTGTCGTTCATCAGGCATTTCGACCGAGCTCCGTCTGTCGCACATATGACCTGACCAAGTCCTGCTGGCCAGCTGGTAACCTGATCTGGCGATCCATCGGTTACCATGCGATTCAGTCTTTAATCATCAGTCACTGGCGGGCGTGGGCCTCAGCTCGGCACGCATCCGGACTCATGACCTTGCGGAACTTGCGCTAAACGTTGAAGCGATTTATTTCGAGGATGAGGCAGGCCTAGACTAGGATTCTAAATTGAAAACAGTAGACGGTGTTTAAAAATGGGACTCCAAGCAAACAGGAAATGTGCAGCAGACGTTAACTCAGAGGTCATGGAAGCTCGCCAATCCGGCATTTAGTGACGCTCGTATATCACCGACTCAACCCCAAGTGAAGAATGGTTGGACTCAAAATACATGCTGCGAAAGAGGCGGTTAAGGTATATACATACCGAACACACACACACACCACACACACACACACACACACAACCACACACACACACACACACACACACACACACACACACACACACACACACCACAACACACACACACACACACACACACACACACACACACACACACACACACACACACACACACACACATATATATATATATATATATATATATATATATATATATATATATCCCATGTTAATCACTTATGCATAATCGATGAAGAACATTAGCCAACGGAATGACATCTGGTCCAACGCTGACTTGAGACTTGACTAGTTAAGGTTTTCCAGGCTGGGTTAGGCCTACAGCCTCAATTATTTGTCTCCCTGGCGATCGCTATCTCTGACAGCACGTTATGCAAACATCTTTGTTTCTCACGGCCACTTAAGGCATGGGCGACGGGACCGGGATGGGATGGAGAGATGATCGCTGGCTACAGCTGCTCTCCATCTCCGTAAAACCTAACATTGACCATGATGTTAGCGTAGGCACAAACAATGTAAGAATTGCGCGGTTTGCTCCCATCCTCTCTCCTACCCTCCACCCCCCACCTCCACACACATCTAATTATCCCGGACAATTCCCCATTCCTGCCGGACGATCTGATGTACTTCGACCCAAGTCTTGATAGCTCGAACTTGGACCCCGAATTGGTCATAGAATTGAGGTTCAGACTGAAGTACACAGACAGAGAACTAATTCGAGCTCGGCATCCAAGGACTCGATACTCAAAGTCGCGAACGGTACAACGGGTGGACTCGGACTCCTGCTGAGAATCAAGATCCCAAGATCCGGACCCGGATTCGAACCTCGGTTATTGGGCGTGGACCTGCACCTGGCCGCCAGACGACCGTTCCTCCCGCGCACCGATCGTCGTCCGCCTACAGCAACAACACCGCGCCGCGGCCGGCCACTACGACGCGTGCAATGTAATGGCCGTTTTGTGGCGCAGTAAACATGTTGGCTTGCTGTGCTTCGACGAAGTCTCCGATGCTGTTTTTGCCGGATTGCAGTCTCCCTGCTCTTGCGGTTATTGAGGGTCGGGGGTGCGCCTTAATTGCCGATGGGCGTGACACGGTTCTATGACGCCAACTTGCGACCGTAGTTAAATGCTTCGAAGCATCCTTGGGTCACGCGTCTGCCTGAAAATCAAACCAACCAGCGCTGAACGCGGTAACAAGACCAATAACTTCGCCATCAGAAATATTATTCCGCGAGAGGTCTGTGTCTAAAAAGTTTAGGAATAAGACAACAGTTAGTTGTTGCTTGGCTGTGTTATCAACATCTGCTTATAAACATCCGACTGGCGCTTGTTCGTCGAAGCTCTCGATTTTCTGCATTCTCCAAGCCTCTTACTTAACGTGTGACATTTTATGGTCGTTTCCACTCATGGTCATCCGTTAAAGGTTTTGCTCTTTGTACCAAATTGTACCAAGCATCTAAGTTTGATAGGGTACAGGGTATAGGGTACTTGGCAGTACATGGCACCACCAAGTATTAGCATTACATCTCCTTCGGTGGTGACAAGGTGGCGAATCGACGTAAGACAGCAATGCCTGGTATGATATCCATAAAACTGGCATTCGACTCCCCAGCTTTCGATAATTGAAGGCCTCCCACAAGAGGCTTCTCGGAAAATAGCGACGCACGCCCATCCAGACAGGCCATTTTGCGGTTATATTCATGTGCCCCAGTTACACGCGGTCATTGGTGTTGTTCGCAGCTCGGCTGCTCCGTGAATGCTATCTGGCGTGGCGGAGTGAGCTTTGTTTTACGGACAAAGACTGTTGCTGCACGCTGCGCGACAAGGTGAAAAATCGCTGGCCACTCGGGGAACAATAGTCATGAATATTCCTCATGCTGTGTCCAGAAGCATTTAGCCAAATCACTGTATAGGCATGAAAACAATAAAGCGTGAAGCAAGGGGTGATTTAGCGGCTTTACAAAGACTTTACTAGAGTGACTAATGTAGCGAAACGGAGTCAGGGCTGGATGGCAATTGTTCACATCGCGTCAGGTCACATGATGCCCTGAAAGGAAAAAAATGTACAAACAAGTGAAATGGTACAAATCTGCCGTTATTGTCTTACAGGATAGAAGTTGGGATACACGAGTGTCTTTATTTTATTTCCCCATATCTCTCCAAAATAGTACCGGACGAAATATTTTTGGTCTGTCTATTTTACTTCCGTGTATTTCTTGCACATTTTAGACATGGATAGATATAAAATGCAGCATCTTCTCAGAAAAAATAAAGATTCATTCAAAAATGTACATCCATGACACGTAATCCACCAAAGGAGCTAGCTTTTAATATTTAATTGTAATACGCCCTGAGGGAACTGGTGATTGACAAACGAAGCGCCCAAATTTTGGGATATATTTAACAAATCTACTCTGGTGAAACCACAGGATCACTTGTCTAACAGCACTGTGTAGTGTCACTGCGCACCATCAAAACATACTTTGGATGTAAATTTTGATTATTTCCGAGTCCAAATCACGCTGTCAACGCTTGTAACAACACTACCACTTCTGAGTGTATCCTGAGTCGCGACAACTGCAGTTGTCGCGACCACCGTCTTCATGCCGACCGCAGGATCTGTTGACGGACGTTATCAGCGGTAAGGGGCGAGAGATGCTGCTGTTGAGCTTTTTTGACCGCACATTGCGGGCCATCAGGCTTAAAATGGTACCTCTCTGATGGTACAAATGATCTCAGTACAAGTTATCATTTGTGATTAGCACAGCAGGCGACACGGTCCAGGCACTTGAAGCGCATTGGTTTAAGTCTAGCCAGTGCGTCACCATAAGCCATATGGCTTTGGATTTTCCGAAACCAAAGTGCGCTTAGAAAAGAGCCACTATTAAACGCCTAGATAAGAAATAAAAGCAATGGTATAACGTTTCTTGAATTCGCGGGACAATAGCTTCATGCTTGCATATATTTTGTCTAGCAGTGTCTCCAGCTTTTGTATCATTTATAGACAAGCATTTTGACAAGGATTGTGCTGCAAACAATATGAACCCACTCTTTGAAAATCAAGGCAAATGAAAAGCCTTACTTTCGTAGTGATGAGCGGGCAGCCAATGAGACGTCTCCCCGCGGTAGCAGCTATTTCAAACTGAAATTATGAGCTATTCATGAGCATTTCAAGAAAACCGTTACTCATCAAATTGAACCCGTCTGATATATCAATGAGCGGAAAGCTATCAATAGGAAAAACGTATACAATGACATATACTATTTAATGTAAAACCAATATTAGAAAGAGTTCAGGAGAAATATACAAAATGCATGCAGCAGAATGTTTGTTTCTTAACACGTCTAACAGCACAACGCTCTGAGGCGAATGTGAAGACTAGAATAAGATTTATTGGTGAACATAAATTTTCTCATCACGGGCTATACGGGCTATCAAACAAAAAAGACGTCATAAAACAACTTGACTGGATGTCTTAGTTCACCTTTTTAATGGTTCCAATGTCTACTTCCTCTCCAAGAAACTTGCGCTCGCCCCGGCTCACACTTGAGGTGGTACAACGCCGGTGATCTGTAAAAGCAGTTACAGCCACAGACAAACCAAGCAGCGATTATTACTGGTATTGCGCTTTCCATCACCCCGCTGTCGAGATTCCATTCATCAAGCTGTTAATGAAAAGTAAGCACGCCAATTACTTGAGCTGCAAGAAAAACCATCGATTACGCTACAGAACGCGTGAAACTGAAGGAACCCTATTCCCAATGTAATCCCAGTGCCAGTCCCAAAGCTAGCACATAACAGCGAGCCATCATTGGCAGAGCCGTACAGTGCCAGCAGACTTGGGCGGCTGCGGCAGCGGCCCCACGGGAGCTGCTTGTCACACCTCGTTGGCGCCTGACGCCTGGCCGCCTGATATCGCCGGTCTTATGCCGCCACTGCCGTCTGACATCCGATCGGCCCATATGCGCCGTCAGTTTCGCTTTCTACCTGGTGCCACGCCGCACTACGCTAGCCAGCCAGCAGCTGCCGCGGGAGAGGCGAGGAAGAAGGCTGAGCCCCGCTCCACGGGATGAGACGGAGCCAGGGCAGGCATCGACGTCCGCCCGCGGTGGCCGATGACGCGGCAGACGACACCGGCCAATCGGTCAACATCGGTCATGTTTGATCTGCCGACACTCAGTCGGCCAGGGTGACGAGATGCCCCGACAGAACACCGCCACCAAAGGTCAGGCAAGTTTCGCAACAATAACCTCCGAATACAATGAATAGCTAATATCCTTCACACGAAGCATGAATCATTAATCGGCTTGATTAATCGAGGCTGAGACAATAATCAAATGGTGTACAATTGTTTGCATACTTAACTGGTATCGCACCTCACATACATATGCTTTATGACAGAAACCAATCTTATTGATATACTTTGACATAACAGGATTGATCTTCCCAGACAATGACAACCAAGATGAAGTGACAGAGGTATTCAACTGCTAGTTAAGTTTCCATCTCTTTGCTTAACAAATTAACTTCGGCGCATTCCTTGAATACTTTTGATGCTCGTAATGCTTGCATCTTTTCGCAAGCAAGCTCTCGTTCTCCAAATGCTTCATCACGTGGAGACAGTAGTTGATCAGTTAAGCATTAAATCATCCAGGTAGTAAATTTTCACCGATGGTATGAAAGAGAAAAGGATCGAAGGTTAGAAACTGATCCGCTGCGCCGTTTAATGAAAAAAGGTGGGATAGCTGCAGCCCCTTCCTGAACATAGTTGTATCCAAGCGTCCGAAATGATAAGACATTGCGATTTTCAGCGTCTAAAGGCTGACACCGCAGCTTACATCAATAGGATATATTTATTCGTTGAAACTGATAGCCACGTGACAAAAACACGCTGCTCCATACATGATGTTTGAAATGCGTTAGTGCGCTTTCATCTAACGTACCATATTCACGCGACGAAAACTGTGCCAGGACTAATGACTGTGTTAAAAACTGCGTCAGGATTCCTTCCAGAATTAATGAGTGTACCTTGTGAGGTAGCTGACCTATTAGGTCAATGTCAAGTCATGGCTGTCGGCGAAGCCAGCTCCGGAGGAATTGCTCCTTGTGATTCGACGACAGAGTTTTAGACGAAACCATACGTCTCTGAGATAGGCTCTTACACAATTTGTCGATTTAATTTAGAAGAACGGCTCATTGTATTGACCTTGGCTCATGTATGAATGTCAAACCAAGGTAATAATCCGCCTACTTTTTCATGTCAACTTTATTCATGATAGCTTTTTGTACAATTTCCTCATTATAGGCGCGTTAGCAGATGACTTCTTGAAGGTCAAAGGAGTCACTTTCTTAAACTGATCCCGATGAGCCTATTGTTTTTTAGGAACATGCCGCATAATGTTACCCTTCATGCTCATTGTATTCAAAAATCAAAAATCTCGCGTATTTTTTAAGATCGTGGTAGACACTGAAGACCCTATTATCGAAAGTTAAAGTTGGCATCTTACCTCCCTGAATGCATAACTTCACCGCAGACAGAGAGCCATAAGAAACTATTTAGGTATTCAGTGTGTTCATGGGATTGTAGCTACGGGAGCATTGATTAAGAAAATGGTCAGAATTAGGATGGCCGTTGCCACGCGTTCCAGGACAGATCAAAGTGTACCTTTCACTCTAAACTCTCGATTTGAACGTAACTTGGTCACAAAGACACTAGATAACAATTAAGAGTGTCTTTGGCTTTGCCAAGTATCTTGCTCAAACGTGTCGGACTAATAGCTTCCGGCAGTTGATGTTCGTGTTGTGTAAGTGTATTTTTAACCGTAAATTTCTACTGTGTCGAACAAAACCAGGTAAATACAGCAAATGCAGTTGCAAACAAACTATATCCATAATAACACACCAATGTTGTCTTAAGGCCATAAATTTAACTGCTTTCCTTTCATTTCCGTTCGTTTTCTTCGCTGATCAATTTGATGTTGGAACTTCACCTAGTGCAACATGACACAGAATTGCCAGAAGCAGTAAATCTGACACTTTCGGACGAACGAAAATCAGCATATTTCGAATCGGCAAAGGGCGGTCTAGCGCGCTGGCAAAAGCGCAGATTATTGTGTGCGGGCGGCCCACGTGCGCTCGCTCAAAAGCCACGCATATGTCAGTTCTGGGGATTCTACAGAATTGATGTCAGAACTCGGCTGAACACGCACATAACGTCATAAAACTATCTGCATTATATAGACGCACGTGTCATCGACAAACCACCCATGCCGCCCAATACTGTCTGATCCATAGGTACGTCAGCAATCGAACGTGAAGCGACCAATGTCGCGGGTTTCGAACCCGATCTCGAATGCGACACGCCTCGCCCAAATCAAGTGAGAGGCAGGCGTAATAATGGCGATAGCTCAAAATGTTATCCGCCGCAAAATTTGCGGATTTCGTCGGGGAAAGCCCAGGCCGTTCGTCTGCCTGCCGATGGCTATGACTTGGCTGTGAAGTTGCATGTTTTGCTGAAGGTCCCCGGTGCAGCAGATATATTCCACACGTGTGTGACCATACGCTGAGCAGTCGAGGGTCGCAAAAAACGGGACACAAAAAAACGCGGCTGAAACAACAAAATGCAGCTGTACTGTCACAAAGATGCACTCTGCACACCTGAGTACAAATGGGTTCAGGTTTGCAGAAGTTGTGTGTGTCATTGGAGCCTCACGACGCACTCACCGGCTGAGGCTATATGGCGTCGCTTGCCTCTCACCCTGGCAGGAAGGCGTGCACAGCGGGGAATGAAACCCCGCACATCTGGTTTCCCAGACACGCAGTGGTTAACGCAGACGTGTTAACCACTACACTACCGGCACCCTGTGTGTGCAGAAGTTTCAGAAGTGTGCAGTGTGAAGATGTTCATGGGCTGTAAAACGGTATGGGTAAACTTTCCGATTGTCTCGCGTATTGCCTGGCATGTCACTGATGAGAGTCCCACCTTTGGAATAAATTTCAAAAACATGATCTGATGGACTATTATAACTTGTTATTACTGTAAATAGCACTGGGGAGCAAAACTGCATCACGAACAGGATATTATGCGCAAATAAATTAGTTTTATTTGCGAGCTCAGATTACGTTGGCAGCATTTCAGACCCGCACTGGTTTTCTTCGTTCTATTAATTCGCGTATGACATGTCGTGCACACGTATTTCTAGAGCCTTGGATGATTCTAGCGCATACAAGGCAGCGTTTATCATTATGAAGTTCATGGTCCTTTGGATAATTGTTTGATTTTACACACCGTATGCAAATTGCGAATGAAAACTCTCAAGACGTTAAAAACCCTATTCAGAATATGATAGCCTTTCCTTTCATGTTTTGGTCAATAGGTCATTATAGCCTGTGCACTTTTAAAGCGCCGCTCTGGCGCTGGTTACATATTCGTAACGGTAACGCATGAAACCATTAGACCCAATCTTATAACCACCGATCCCCGTTTTCAAGCTAGCCAGCTCTGCTTGCCGTCCCAGCTATGTTCACTTCACCACAACGTTCAAATGCCTTTGAGTGCTTACATCCTTAGGCTTTTTAGTGTCGTGTTTCACTGATGCAATTACAATGCATGTTGAATTATTATACAATGCGCAGTTACACCCGCTGGAGGCCAAAATGAGCCGGGCCTAGTCATGACCATTTCATCTGCAGCGCCCTTCATCTACAGGCTTTTAGAAACACCCCTGGGTTCCTAAGTGTGCAACAGTGACCAGCGGTGACTGATGCATGAGCATTGGCGTTCCTTTATGATCACGTAGCTTCACACCCGACTTCATAGCAAGAACTTCGGTAAGCTCCCTTGCATGAATACTCTTTGGGGTTAAGCCAAAAAAGCCCTGCTCAAAAAATGTGACGACATCCAATGGACCCAACATCTAACTGCCTATTTTTCAACTCACAAGTTTTATGAGGATCAGTAACGATCTCACCATCCAAAAATCCAATGAAATATGCGCTGAACATCAGACCGTGTAGGTGTAAGCAGAAATGCAGCTTGCGCGCTGTGTTAGCCGCAGGCAGGTGATGTCCTGACCGCTCGCTGGCGTCGCGGCCGTTGCCGCCGACCCTCCAAGATCGTCGGTCGCGGCGTCGCCCGCCGGTCTGCCGGCGCCGCGTGACGTCACCAGCCAAGGTCGGCGGCGAGAGGGATGGTATTAGACGGTGCGAAGAGGACGTCGGACGTCTGTCTTCTGGTGGCGCTTCTCGGTGGAACATCTCCAGGTGAGTCGACGCTGGCTGTCGTGCCGAGGCGGCGATGCTCGCAGCGCATCGCTTAGCCGCCGCTCACCAGTGGCGCTGAAACATCCACTGCGACTCGACTCTTTTTACTAATCCTTGTCACTGCGCGGAATGCAGCGCTCATGATAACTGCTTGTATGAATTCAGGAAAGGATCCTTTCTAAGCCTGAAATGCTCTGATATATATATATATATATATATATGTATATATATATATATATATATATATATATATATATATATATATATATGGTTGTTCGGCTGCGCTTTGACTTAAGGAACGCACACCACTCGGCCCGTGTAAATGAATAATGCTGCCGAACAAACCTGTATAAGGTGTTGATGAATCCTGATGCTTTTCACTACACCTAACTTCTTTTGAGCTTAGCTGCTTGAATTAGCACTGAAACGCGAGAATAGTCTTTCAAAACAAAACAAAATGCACAGGAACTATGTCGTCTTAGCCCAAGTCGTGTGCTGTGCTTATTCACACCAATGTTAACACGCGCCCGGGTGGCGGGCTGGATACCCTTCGCTCGGTGGGGGTCAATTTGACCCTCCCTTAAGATCTTGGGAAATGAGAGAGCTAGAGACACCAAATTCACAAGGCGTACGTAAGCTCACTTAGGTCAAATTTTGAGGTTCCTGAGTCATGAACTTCGGGTTAAGGAAGGTCAAACAATGCCAAATTTCAGGTTGACCTTTAAAGTGCCCCCAATACCTAGATAACTACTTGTAGGCAAAACGACACATGCTCATTTAAGGTAATGGTACCTTAAGGTCATGCTCATTTAAGGTCAGTTAAGGTGACCTTGTTTGACCTTTTCAAGGTCTTGGTAACCAAAATTATACAAGACTGCATTGAATTTTGCATTTGAATAAGCGACAAATATTACGCTAGACAGTTTGATCCTAATGTTGACCTCGGTCATTTTATGTCAGTGACCTATTATGACCTTTGAAAAGTCCATGGAAGGTGTACAGTACAGCTCTTGTTATTTAAAAGATAAAAATGGCACCATAGGTATCCCGTACGGCAAGCCCTAGAATAATAAAGCAAGCTGGTTTGACCTTGGTGTGATCTTC